GAAAATCTCTTGAACCTGGAAGGCAGAGGTTGCAGTGAACAGAGATCATGCAATTGCAATCCAGCCTGAGTAACAGAGAATACTGTTTCAAAATTAAAAAGCAAAGGAAATAAATTCAACTACCAATTATAAGGTACTAATATGTTTTCAACCTACCTACCTTTCTTGCTTTCTTTATGTCTTTGGTATGAGTTAGCTTTTGCTGCATAACAAACTAACATAACACATAGTGTCTTAAAACAACATTTATTATTTCTGACAATTCTGTGGGTTACTGGAGTACTTCTCCTGGTCTGTGATGACTTAGCTGGGAATGGATGTTTTGAGGTGTACACATTCACATGTTTCAGGCCTCATTTGGGGCATCTGTGCCTCTTTCCACCTGCTCTTTCATCTTTAAGAAGGATATCCCACACTTATTCACATGCCAGTTGTATTCCAAGAGAACAAAGGCAGTAAATTAAAGGTGTTTTGAGGCTTAGGTTTAGACCTCAGATAGAGTCTCTTCTGACTCATTCTGTTATTCAAACAGAGTTTCAAAGCCATCCATAATGAATGCATTATGGGCAAATCGCATTAACTTCTTGATGGAAGTGCAATGAATCCATGGCCATTTTCATCATAATATTCTTAATATTATATAATTAATAATATCTTAATATTCTGTTTACTGTATCTTTCACAGGGAAGTGAAATTCCCTGGTCTGTGATTAGCGATTGCCAATGGCAAATGTCTCCTTGAATGCATGGCTAATCTGTATCACTTATCACTTTCAATAACTCTGTCACTGAGTAACCCCAGAAAGCAGTTTCCTGTGTAGAGCTTGGAAAAGTTTTCTAAAAAAGGAATAATATTTGTTACATTGTATTCTTAGAAACAACCACATTAAAGTTGAAAGTTCAAAGATGGTTTTCACATTTTAACCAAGTTTTTGAAGTGTTTGACATTAAAGAAATGTTAGTGTTTCTGTAACAATATTTTTTGAATTAAAAACCGAGGCATGGATTCTGCATCAAATTGGCATGAGATTTTCAAAGGGGAATGGTGAATAGTTCAGGGAATGTTGTCCTAAAAATTCCCAGAAATTCACAACACTTAACAGTGAATTGAAAATAAGCAGAAGTTTGCTTTCCCAGATAATTGTAAATCCAAGAGCAAACATTATGAGACCCCCAGGTCCCAGAAACTGCTAGCTATGATTACAAGCTTGGTTGTTACTTATTCTTATAATCTCCTTTTTATGCCATCAGCCATCACTTACCCTGACTCCCACCAGTCTGATAGCCAAAAATGTCCCCCTAAGAGTATCTTATAATTTTCACTGTGATTATCTCAAAGGATGCTTATGTGTGTGGCCAAACATGAGTCTGCTCTGTGTTTTAGTTCATGCTCCACCCTATGTTTCATGTTGTCAAGGCGTTTAGAGAGAACTCATCACATCTACTGGCCACCATGATAATGTCAACATCTCTACTAAGGGTATCATTTCCAGATGGTACCCAAACTCCCAGGTCCATGGACATCGGAAGAGTGATGGATTTTATTCAGATATGGAGAAATTGACCTCTTCACCAACTGTGTAATATACTTTGCTATTTGGGTGTCAGAACAATTTTGCCTATAAAACCCAAAGTCTTTCTTAATCAATGCTTCTAATTTCTTCATCTCTCTACCCTTCTCCCTGCATCTTTGTAGCTTAACAGTTCAGGGGCCTGCTCAGGCAGCAAATGATTGGATTGAGTGCCAGCTGTAGCAGGCAGACAGGTAGACGCTGTCCTAGGTGCTAAAGATAGCAGTGAACAAAAGTGGCCAGAGAAGCAGGGCCCTGTCCTCTCTGATATTAAACTTACCCATCTATTTACCTTTCTTCACCTCTCTGTCCTAAGCCTGGCTAAAACTTTCCTCTCCTTCTCTAGCTACCAAAGAAAATGTCCTAAGGAAAGGAGTAGATATAAACAGATCCTGAGTAGTGCAATGGGTGGATGACTGGCATGATTGCAGTAGCAGTCTCTGGTTACATCTGCCAAAAATGCCCTGTTGCGTTTACAGGACCACATTCCAACAGATTTAGACAGCCTGTAATTTAAGTCACGTCAAAGACACTGAAAATAAGAAAAATTCAGTTTGTTTTGTTTAAAATACTGCAAGTACTTAGTTTAAATGTCTCACCTCTCACTTAATTTGGTTGAATGTATGGGACATTAGGTAGCTACAGATTTGGTCACTTGGTTGAATTAAAACAGAGAACTTGATGAAATACCAAACAAGTGACTGAACTGTATTTTTCACTTTCCATTTGGGCATCACAGTCTCTTTTTACAACTCAGGGAATGAGCCTAACATAACTTCAACACAGCCTACCTGTGTTATGCCTCAGGGAAAATTATATTCATTGTGTTATGTAGGATTTGGAGAAAAAATTATAAGTTTCGGTGAATTTCTGTCAAGTCTTCTTAACAAAGCGGTACTCATTCCATATTTTGAGTAAGAATCAAAGACTGTACTTTCAGGAATTATTTCTATAGCTTGTTAAGGTAAAAAGTATGAGAAGGGGGCACATAGGACTTGGAATTAAAGAGAAAATAGTGTCTTGTCTAAGATACTTGCTTCTGAGATGGGAAATGGAAGATAAGTTCTTTTCTTCTGTATTTATATAGACAATTGGCTTGTCAACAGGAAGGGTAAAAAGCTCCACATTTTTTCCTGTTAGTTACCATTTATTGTGTGATTACCAAGCACCAGAATTTAATGTCTGAAAGTGTATCACATACATCACATTCAATTCCAACAGTAAATGAAGACATAAATGTTAATATTCTGTTTACTACATGAGAAAACCAAGGCACAGAGAGGTTTAGTGACTTGACAAAAATTGCACAGTTGCCAAGTTTTAGATCATAAATTCAAAAACAAAACACTTACATTTCCAAGCTGCTGCATATGACTGCCAGCCAACACTGCACTCTGAAATACGTATTTTGAGAACTGAGTATAGCAACTTTTGCATCATAAAGGCTGATTGGGTCTTGAGTTCTGTCTTCTGAGCACCAGTTCCCTCATCTGCAAAATGAGAGGAATAATGCCTGTTTTGAGACTAAAATGAAACCATGTATAAGGAAGAACAAATACCTTTTCCAGTACCAGTCACAGGGCATGAAAAATAGCATCTGAGATATTGTCTGTGTTGAACATTATACAGAGGAACTATTTCGTGTCACCATTAGCTAAATTTCTAAGGGGTGTTGGATTAAAATTAGAGACATGACCTGAGCTTCAGCATTTACATCTATGCCAGATATGAAGTGTATGTTGTAAAAGCCAGACATTAAGATAGGTAAGGAGCCAAAAATAAGCTACCCCACCAAACACAAAGGAAAATTTGAGGAAGGCCATTTCGTATATAGAAGAAAAGTGACTTAATAATTAGTATGTATAAATGATATTTTATCTGCCCTTTAAAGAAGTGTGTGTGTGTGTGTGTGTGTGTGTGTGTGTGTGTGTGTGTGCATGTGTTTGCTCTAGGGAACAAATATTAACATATCTTTCAAATGCTTTGCCTTTCTCTCCCTCTTTCTTCCCACCCTCCCTCCCTCCCTCCCTCTCTCTTCCTTCCTCCCTTTCCTTTCTTCCTCTCTCCCTCCCTGTCTTTCCTTCCTTTCTTTCCTTCTTTATTTTTGACAGGGTCTCACTCTGTCATCCAGGCTGGAGTGCAGTGGTCTTGACTCATAGCAACTTCCACCTCCCTACCTCAAGCAATCTTTTCACTTCAGCCTACCAAGTGCCAGGTATTACAGATACTTGCCATGCCTGGCTAACTTTTATCATGTTTTTGTAGAGACAGGATTTTGTCATGTTTGACCAGGCTGGTCTCAAACTTCCTCACTCAAGCAACCTACCCACCTTGGCTTCCCAAAGTGCTGGGATTACACACCTGAACCACCATGCCTAGCCTCAAATGCTTTTCTGTTTATGCTTATCTGCTTGTGCCCCTACCATAGCATAATACTGCTATATCAAGCAAGTTTAGTATTTTAGGTCAAGTGGAATCTCCTTCATGTGAAAGTTATTATTACTTGGTTTTGTCCAAACTACGAGATAAGTTTGATCATTATAACATAAATAGTTTGAATCACTATGACTCAGCCTATTATTGGAGTTAGTTCTCTCATAACAAATATTTGTTTTATAAATTGGAACACAGTATACTTAATTTGATTCTTATCTGTGTTCTATGAGGACTGATAAAAGGAACCAGTGACATTTTTCCTGTAACAAGGAAGTCTTGGGGGACACAATGGTTTTAGGCAGATACCTGAAACATTGTCATGCTACAAAGGGAATTCAGTTTTGTGTGGCCCCAAGTTTTGGAGTAAAACTAGGAGAGTGGATGAAAGCCACAGGATGGCAGATTTTAGTTGAGTATAAGGAAGAGTTTTCTAATAGTCTCAGCTGTCCAAAGATGCCTCGGGAAGCAGTAAATTAGCAATCTCCATTCTCTGGATCTGTTCAAGCAGAAGGGAGTCTAGCAGCGAAAGGAATGCTGGCACTTCAATATTTTGGGACTTCTGAGGAACTTGCCAAAGCCAAGTGCTGATGAAAAGTTTCGCCACACTGCTCACAGTGGAAGCACTTCAGCATGGATCTTGAACACCCACTGAGATGGTGAAACTTGCTGCCATTTTGCATGTTTCGGTTCCTATGAAACCACGGTAACTAACCCCAAGAAATAGCTGATGGCTAGACTTAGCTAGTGAATCTTTCTTCCTAGAATATAAACTCTTTACTAGCCAAACTTTTTCAGCTTCCTTTGATGGTCCTTCCTAATCTATCTAGTCTTTAAATAGAGTCAGGCTTTGCATATCAGCAGGTATACATTCTGAGAAACATGTTGTTAGGTGGTTTTATTGTGAAAGCATCATAGTGTGTACTTACAGAAACCTAGATCGCATAGACTACTGCACACCTAGGCATTTGGGGATAGCCTGTCGCTCCTAAGTTACACACCTGTAAGCATGTAACTGTATTGGATACTGTAGGTAATTGTAACAAAATGGTGAGTATTTATATACCTAAACATAGCTAAAAATAGAAGTGGTATAGTAAAATTACAGTATTCTAATCTTATGGGATCACCATCACATACACAGTCTATCATTGACTGAACTGCATTTACACAGTGCCTAACTATATTATGGTTCTTAAAAACTTGGCATTGTGCTTCTTTCTCAACTCTACCTTCTTGCCCCTGATGAACTCATGACTTTAAATACCACTTATGCCTTAAAGATTTGGAAGTTTACCTTCTGAGCCTGTACATTCAATTGTGTGGTTAATATTAATATTCAGACATTTTAGAGGCATTTCAAATATCACACATAAGAAATCCAGTTGCCTTCTAGTGACATTGTTACTCTTCCAGTTTTATGTTTCTCAGGAAATGGTACCATGAGGATACCCATGTAAGAAACATCAGAATCCCTCTCAGCATTTCACTCTCACTCATCCTCCTCACATAGGCCATACCTCCAGCACCTATCTCAAATGCTCCCCCTTCTTTCCACTGCTATTTCTAACATTTTCAGCTAGAACACCCTTGCTCCTGGCCTGGACCACTACAAGTAGCATCTTACCTGGTGTCCCTGCTTCTACTTTATCCCTGTCAATTCATTTTTCACAGTTCAAAAGAATAATGTTTTCTGTTTCTTTGTGCCTTATGAAAACAAGAAAAAAAAAAACTTTGATTTTTGAAATAATTATGGACCCACAAGAAGTTGCAAAAATATTTCAGAAAGTAGTAATTCAAAGTAATATTTTCAAAGTGCACATCTAATTATGTTACTATCTTCCTTAAACACCTTTAGCAGTTTCCTAATTTTCTCAGGAATGTAAACATTCCTGTAAAAGCCTGTAAATCTCAGCATGATGTCTGCCTTTCTATTTCTTCAGTTTCCTTTTGGTCCACCCTCACTAATGGTGCTTCATTTACCCTGACTTTCTCTGTCTCTTGCCTATTGAGGGCTTCTTCTAAACTAATGTCTTCTCTACATGTTGTGTTTTACTCTCCCTTCGATGCTCAGTATGAATGTCACATATTCAACTCATCATTCACTAATCACACAATCTAACTTAGGTTTCTCTATTACGCCCTCATGTTTGTCTCATTTTTCTACATACTATTTATTGACATTATCTGCATAATTACTCGCTTAACATCTGTCTCCCTAACTGTACTGTAAGCAACATTGTTCATTGTTCTAAGATCACAACTTTGCAAATATTAGGTTCTTTACAGATTTTCAAGCAATGAAATCTAGCATGCTCACAGAAGAGAGTTCTGACTGGTGCTTAGAATTTGTGAGCAGTTGAGATCTCTCTAAGGAGCACCAAATTAGACTTCGATTCAAATAGTACCATCAATTACTTGATATATATCCTTAATCAAGTTACTTAAACATACTATGCTCTATACTAATCATCCATCATAACATTACCATTTATGAATTCTTGCAAAGAATAAATGAATAAAGGCATGAAAGTGCTTAGTATAGTACCATGGCTATCTTGTCAAATCTGGGAAACAGTGGTTTCTAAACATTGCATGTTAGGAAAATAAATGATTCGTGGCCAGAAACATACACAAATGCAACAACACAATGCATAAATGTGCACCAGAATACAATAATGTTTTGTTCAGCTCTTCAAATGATACCACCCAGATTTGTGATCCCAGATTTTTTGTCCAGACTTTTTCAATTGTTCATATTCTTTTAGTTTTTAAAGGTTGCTTTTAATACACAAAATACAGCTTTGGTCCTTTTTTCCTCTTGCCTTTATCCGACTGTGAAATACATGAAGAACAACCATAAATTCTCTGAGGATAAAATTATTTTCTATATTTTCAAGCTGAACAAGACTGTGTCACTTGAAAAGGAACCTTGGAAATAAAAACTTGTGCAGACACAGTGCAAATTAAGCTTAGAATATAGAAAGCATGACAAAGTAGCCTAAGAGTTGATTAATATGACCGTGTCAGCATATTGAAGCCAATTTTTATAATTGTCAATGAACCGATGAATCAGAGATATCTTTTTTTAAACTGGAAACACAAAAGCCTGCTTTATTTATTTATTTGAGACAGAGTCTTATTTGTCACCAGGCTGGAGTGCCATGGTGAGATATCTGCTCACTGCAATCTCCAACTCCCTGGTTCAAGTGATTCTCCTGCCTCAGCCTCCCAAGTAGCTGAGATTACAGGCATGCACCACCACGCCCAGTTAATTTTTGTATTTTTAGTAGACACAGGGTTTCACCATGTTGGCCAGGATGGTCTTGATCTCCTGACCTCGTGATCCACCTGCTTCAGCTTCCCAAGGTGCTGGGATTACAGGTGTGAGCCACTGAGCCTCACCACAAATGCTTTATTTAAAGGAGCATCTCAATTCCCATGTGACAGGGAAAAAATAAAAACAGAGCAGATTGTGACACACCATTCCCATCAGCCAAGTGGTCAAACCCAACATCCAAGACCCAGCAAGCAGTGAAGCTCAGCACAACTTCCGGGCCTCTGGCTATGACTCCAACAGGGTGAGCATGTCGCCCTGGCGCAAGGGGACTTTTATATTGCTGATGATGGAGTGGCTCGTGTTGTCCATAAATTCCAGGTGCACTTGCATGCACTGTCCTGACAGCCGGCCCTGCCCAGGACCTTCGTGACCCTGGCCAGCTTGCTAGGCTGCACACGGCTGGTGTCCATGATGGCGATGTAACGGACGTCTAGTGGAGAGAGACAAATCTTTTAAAACGGTGATGCAAATCCAAGAAAAATGGCAGATAAATGACTTCTGAATATTTTTTCCTTCCATAAAAGCAAAGAGAATGCTGGCAAACTTGACAGAATCGATTTTTTCAGAACTCTGGAAATAAACCATAGACTTACAGCAATCCAAAAAGTGTTATTTCAAGAAAAAAATGACTTTCTTAACCTCAGTAAGAATAGAAGGCTTTGTGACATTCTAACTTGCCCTATCCTCATCTTTTCTCCCCAGCTCTGTAATAGCCTTGTAAGCTAACAGCCATCATCATAGTGAAAGCCAGTATCCTGGAAGCCACTGGGGGGTGCAGAACAAAACTGGAGCTACTTCAATTCATCTGCAGAGAGTTGTCATAATGCGACCTGTCTGAGAGTCCCCTGGAAGGCCCAATTTATAATAACACCTTTATCTGACCTAACTTGGAACATGACCAGTGCAAACAGCCCTTTCCCCAGGAGCATTTATCAAAAAAGCAGGCAGAGGCAATTGTTTAACGTCATGGATACCTGAGATGGCTGGTAACAGTTGTCACAACAACAGACTAACCAGAAAGCTGAAAGGGAATGCTGGGAAATAAGATATCCATAGGGGACTTCCAATAGCTCTGACATATTTTTGTGAATCTAGAAGGCTACATGCATACGAAGGCCTTTGCACTTTCCTATGGCTGTGTGCATCCTGAAGATCTGATAAGGCTGTAAGCTGTCACCTCTGGCCAGCCACTAGGCTCTGTACAAGCAGGAAGTGATGATCAAATCAAAGCTGCAAAACGTTTGGCCGAGCATGGAAGGCATAATCCAAGATGTACACAGTCACTTGGCAAAAATTAGGACACTTACGGTTGATCGACATCATTAATTGACTACTAAGTTAGACACGACAAATAATACAGGTTTTATAAAATTAATTCAGAAAAGCTACTAACCAACCAAACAATACAATAATCACAACAGACAGCAACAACAGTAAATCCTAGGGACTTTATATTGTTTTGACTTTATATTGTTTTAAATTATCAGGTTTAAAAATTATGGAACATGTAAACAAAAATGAAAATAAGGCCCATATGCAGGAAAAGGAGTCAGTTGAACCTATCCCAGAGAAAGCCCAAAGTTTTTACTTCCTAGAGAAATAATTTTAAATTAGTTATTTTCAAAATGTTGACAAAGAATAAAGAAATGGATAAGAATGATGTCTTATTAAAGGTTATACAAATAAAGAGATAAAGCTATTAATAGCTTTCAAGACCTATTGAAGTTGTTTTTAAAAGCACCAAATAGAAATTCCAGGGGTAAGAAGTACAATAACTGAAACAAAAATTCACAGCAGATTTGAAGAGGCAGACAAATCAATGAACTCGAATCTATAAGATTATCATAAGAGACAGAAAGAAAAACATTTTTAAAAAAATGAACAGTCTTGGAGATTTATAAGTGACCAAGTGTACCAACATATGCATAATATGAGGTTCAGAGAAAAGGAGAGTGAGAAAAAGGCAGAAAGATTCTGAGGAAATAATGGCTGAAAACTCCATGTTTATTAAAAACATTAATATGCACATCGAAGAAGCTCAATGAATTTCAAATAACACAAACTGAAAGAAATTCATACCAAGACACATGACAAACTGTTGAAAGCCAGGGTAGGGGTTGTGGGGAGCAGAAACAGAAACACTCAGCCAAGAATTCTATATCCATCATAAATAGCAGAGAAATCAAGACATTTCCAAATACACAAAAACTAAGCAAATTTGTCACTAGCAGACTTGTTCTATATGAAATACCAAGGGAGTCCTTCAGGCTGAAATGAAAGGACATGAGGCAATAATCTGAATCCACATGAAGAAATGAAAAGTACGGGTAAAGGTAACTATGTACTTAAATATAAATAGACAACAGAAACATTTTTGCAAATGTTTTTTTATCTGTTTAAAGTCAATTGCTTAAACAATAATTATAAATTTGTGTTGATAGACTTACAAGGAATAGAAATTCAAGCCACCCAGATTGGAAAGCAAAAGGTAAACCTATCTCTATTTGCAGATGACATGATCCTGCATATAGCAAATCATAAGGAATTAACTAAAAAACTATGAGAGTTAATAAGTTCAGCAAGTTCGCATGATAAAACAACCAATATACAAAATTAATTTATATTCCTATTCACTATTGTGAAAATAAAATTGATAAAATGATTATATCTTGTGAAAAAGAATAATATATTCAGTAATAAATTTAACAAAATAAAAGAGTGGTACATTATAAACTATATCACTAAAAAAATTAGAGGTGCTAAGTAAATGAAAGATATTCTATGTTTATGAATTAGAAGACTTCGTATTGTTAAGATGGCAATACTCCCCAACTTTATTTAAAGATTCAATGCAATTTATGGTAAAATCACAATTGCCTTTTTATAGAAATTGACAAGGTAATTCCAAAATCATGGAAATACAAAGGGCACAGAATAGCCTAAACAATTTAGGGGAAAAAACAAATTTGGATGATTCACTCCTCTAGATTTTTCAAATTTACTGCCAAGCTGCACAGTAATCAAGACATTATGGTACTGGCATAGAAGAGACATTGATAGAATATAATAGTTACTACAGAAACAAATTTACACATTATGGGAAATTGATTTTCAAAAAGGTTTCCAAGACAATTCAGTAGGGAAGGAATAGTCTTTTGATCAAATTGTGCTAGAACAAATAGAAACCTATATGGGAAAGGATGAAGCTTGACCTCTACCTCACATCATATACAAAGATTGACTCAAAACGGATCATAGGCCTAACTATTAAAGCTAAAAGTATAAACACTCAGAAGAAAATGGAAATGTAAATCTTTATGACTTCGGCTTAAGCAATAGATTTTTAGATATGACACCGAAATGCAAGCAAGAAAAGGAAAAATAGATTGAATGTCATCAAAAGTTAGAACTGTGTTTCATAGGACACGATCAATAATTTAAAATAAGAACCCACAACATGGGAGAAAATATTTGCAAATATACTTAACCTTTGAACAATGCAGGATTGGGGTACTGACTTACTGCACAGTCAAAAATCCATATGTATATTTTGGCTCCCTCAAAACTTACTAGCCTACTGTTGGCCAAAAGCCTTACTGATCACACAGTTAATTAGTGTATATTTTGTATGTTATATGTATTATATACTATATTCTTACAATAAAGTAGCTAGAGAAAAGAAAATGTTATGAAGAAAATCATAAGGAAGAGAAAATATATTTACCATTCATTAACTGTAACTGGATTGTCATAAAGGTCTTCGTCCTTGCTGTCACCTTCAAGTTCAGCAGGCTGAGGAGGAGGAGGAAGAGGAGGGAGCTGTCTCATGGGTGGCTGAGGCAGTAGAAAATCTTTGTATAAGTGGACACATGCAGTTCAAACTCCAGTTGTTTGAGGATCAACTGTAATAAAACTGGTGAGGATCAAGTATTCAAAATGCCTAGAGAACTCTTACAATACAGCAACTAAAAGAAAAATAACATCATTAATGACTGGGCATGTATTTGAATAAACATTTTTTCAAAGAAAGTACAAATAGCCAATAGCCACATGAAGACATTCTTAACATTATTAGTGATTAGAAACATGTAAATAATGTAAATTGAAACCACACTGAGATACCTTTCAACCCATTAGGATGGATGTAATATAAAAGATAGATAATGATATGTGGTAGAGAAATCAGAACCTTTACATATTCCTGGTGCAAATGTAAAATAGTACAAAAAAACAGTTTGCAGTTTCTCAATAAAGCTAAACGTAAAGTTTTTATATGACACAGGATTCCAATTCTATTTATTTACCACAGAGAGATAAAAAGTATGTCCACACAAATACTTGTACACAAATGTTTATAGTAGCATTGTTCATAATAGCCAAAAAAAGGAAAACAACCCAAATATCTATCAACTGATGTATGAGGAAAGAAATGTGGTGTACACATACAGTAGAATATTATACAGGCATAAAAATGAAGTACTGATGGATGTTACAACATGGATGAACCTTAAATTCATTTTGTTAAGTGAAAGAAGCCAGACACAAAAGGTTACATATTATATGATTTGGTTTATATGAAATGTCAGATTAGGCAAACCTACAGAGACAGAAAGTGGATAAGTGTTTGTCGGAGGCTGGGAGATATTCTGGGGAGTGACTGCTAATGGGTAGGGAGTTCCTTTGTGGTTAATAAAAATATTCAGCAACATGTTGTTACTTTCAAAAGACAATATGTGAGAGGACTATTGGTGAATAGCTTGTGCATACCCCAGCCAGAATTTGGCAAGGGCCCTTAACTAATATCTAACTCTGAAAGGATTATGGAAGCTTACTTTGTTTTATATTTTGCTTGGAATCCATACACCAGGTAGATGATTCCCTTACAGCCTATCCCGAGTCACTATTTATGGACTGCCTGAGTCACCAGTTCCCTCTCATTTTGAGCTCTTTATTTTTTTCCTCAGAATCGGAAACTTGGAATTTGTTTGTTTGATAGTTTGGCTGTTTCTGGCTCAGCTAAATTTTGTACAGTGTGTTCTGGATACTATTTGAAGAGTGAGAAAATGGAAAAATAAATTCTCCAGTACATTTTAGCATCTCCAGAGGGAGAAAAATAATTTAGCAAATATAACCAATGACTAAATTTCCTAAAACAAAATAACACACACACACACACACAAACACACACACACACACACACACACACACACACACACACACACACACACACACA